ACACCGTGCTAGGAATTATGAATAAAATTTCTGGGATTGTCTTTGGATTTGGCAAGCAGTGTCAGGATTCTTTAAAAGAAATTGGGATTTTTAAAATATAAGAAAAAAGTTCTGTTGCTCATATATTTCTGCTTGATAACTAAAAGTAATGCTTTCTGAACAATCTATTTTTAGGTTTTATTTCGAATTGACTTTAGATATATGGGAGATTGCAAAGAAATATACAGGAACATCCCATGCATCCCTCCCACCAGCCCCATGAAAAATCCATTTTGACTATTTTTTCTATGAAAGGAGGAAATAAGCTTAAGAACAAAAAATGGGCTGCTTCAGGTCTAGCCCAAAGGCACAGTGGAGACCTGAGTACTGGACCCCCACCCTCGGTTTAGCTTCTTTGTTTCATTTGCCCCAAAATGGGCGGCTACCGGCAGGGGGCGCGGCAGGCAAGGACATCAGACGCTGACATTCTAGCCACTCATCGCTTTCTTTTAAAAGCTTCCTCCTTTCCCATCTCAAAGTTCAAAGTGACTGGGTTTAGGGTAGGGATGCGGTGAGGCTAGAATGTGGGTTGTGTGGTTGAGCCACTGAAAAACGTTTTAGGTTTTGCCCTATACTTCGCCAGTACTCTAGCCCTTATCTTTCTAGGAGAGAACTTTCTCCACCCTCTTTTTGAATTAAGGACTTCTCATCCACATGAAGGTGGTAGGGGGGAGGTAATCAATTTAAGATCACATACAAGAAAAAAGTCACTTAGGTTGTTTTGGGAGATGAGGGGGAAAGATACATAAAAGTTTAAAGATTTTATTTATTTATTTGAGAGAGAGAGAATGAGAGATAGCACGAGAGGGAAGAGGGTCAGAGGGAGAAGCAGACTCCCTGCTGAGCAGGGAGCCTGACGTGGGACTCGAACCCAGGACTCCAGGATCATGACCTGAGCTGAAGGCAGTCGCTTAACCAACTGAGCCACCCAGGCACCCAAGATATATAAAAGTTTAAAGTCACTTATTTCAAATGAAGCACATAGAGTTATGTTAAAGGAGCACAGAACTCTTGGAAATTGTCCTTCGATTCTATACTTTTTCTGGTTGAGGAGGGAGATGAAAGAGAAGAAAGTAAATCCCAGATGCCGAGGGAAAAAAGAGAGGCAAAGAGGGAATGAAGAGAGGCAGAGTCTTATTACCCTTAGCTTAGAGGTAGACTTTCTAGAAGGATTTTGAGGTTTAGGTCAGCTAATGTCCCACTTGGACAGTAAGTACAGAAGCTTAAGCATGCAGGGCAACAGACCAGTATTATGTATAACAGCAAACTACTCAGTTTGCTTATGGAAGTCCTCTATCTTCATGCAGATACAACGAATATGTTATGGGCCACTCACCAGCCCTAGCTACAACCCTTCACACCTTGCCAATCCTCACCACCTTCCTTCCCCCTCAACAATTAGTTCAATGTGGGCGCCTGGGTGGGTCAGTTGGTTAAGTGACTGCCTTCGGCTCAGGTCATGATCCTGGAGTCCCGGGATCGAGTCCCACATCGGGCTCCCTGCTCAGTGGGGAGTCTGCTTCTCCCTCTGACCCTCCCTCCTCTCATGCTCTCTCTCTCTCTCTCATTCTCTCTCTCAAATAAATAAATAAAATCTTTAAAAAAAAAACAATTAGTTCAATGTATTGGCTTCTCCACTGTCACTGGGCAAGTCAACTGCAGGGTATAACCAAGTTTTCTCAATTCTTTGGCATCCTTTGGCTACTCTTGACTCCCCATGCAGCCCTAGGGCCATGTTTATTTGTTGAATGGTTAACTACTTTAACACTGCTATTATCAACAACCTCTAACCCTCTACCATTCCCAAGCAGACCTCACCTGGCAAGTAGTTAGAAATGCAGAATCATGGGCTTTGCTTCTGACCTTGTGAATCAGAATCCGCACATTAGCACAAGCCCCTGGTCATTCTCAGAAGCACTGCTGGCCTACCTGGCTCTCAGCCTTTTCATTCTAGATTGCCACGTCACCTGCCAGCAACCATACTTCAATCGTCTTGAGACTCAGGGCTCCTTCATAATCCTTGTATTCATTTTTTTAATTTAATATACTCCAAAAATAGCTCTCCATCCCCCCTTTCCACTCTTTAGCTCCTCACTCCTGTTTTTTTCTCCTCCCATTCCTATCCCCTCTCTCCCTGTCTTACTTTGCAGAGATCAAATGACCTTGCTGTGCTCATGTGTGTTTCCTTCTAGGCTTCAGTATGTCTCTGGTCTTCTACCACCCTCTATTCTTTTCTCCAGTCCAGATGAAGTAGTATCTTATTTCTAATGCAGTTCTTCTGCCTCTGCCTTTTGCATATTTTCCTATTCTCCTCTTCTGGGATCTTGCTGTCTTGCTGGTCTTCTTTTTCCCAGAATCATGTACGTTGTTTCCATGAAGCCCTTCCTTTTTGGATCCAAATGTGCAGAGCTCTTCTATTAAGAAAATCACAACATACGCACACATTCACATTCACTTGATCCTACTCCCTTGTGGTTTATGTTCTGTTTCTCCTCTTTCAGAATCCGATTTTTCCAACAAATGGTATAGAACAGTGGTTTATAATTGAGACAGCTTTGCCTCTACCCCCCTCTTCCAGGACATGTGGCAATATCTGGAAACTTGTTTGGTTGCTGCAACTGGGGGAGATGCTACTGGCATCTAGAAGTGGACAGAGACCAAGGGCGCTACTAAACATGCTACAATGCACAAGACAGCCCCGCACGACAAAGAATTATCTGGCTAGGCAGACCCTCTTTGGTTTGCCTTTGACTTTCTTGGTTATCACACTGAACATCCTATGTACCAGGAAACCCCTCAGTCCTGGGTTACTGAGATGCTTGGTCACCTTTTATCTGGCCCCCAGTGTCAAAAGTGCCAAAGTTAAGAAGCCCTGCTCTAGAAGGAGGATCCATTGACCTTACTTTTTTCTCACCAATGCCCTTCCCTTCAACCTGACATTTAGTTTCTGTGTTCTTTTCTATAAAAACACTTCTCTTGAAGGACACCAATGGTCACCTTCCAATCAAGAAATACAATGGCCTTGGACGCCTGGGTGGCTCATCGGTTAAGCGTCTGCCTTTGGCTCAGGTCATGATCCCAGGGTCCTGGGATCGAGTCCTACATCGGGCTCCTTGCTTCGTGGGGAGCCTGCTTCTCCCTCTGCCTGACGCTCCCTCCTGCTTGTGCTTTCTCTCTCTCTCTGACAAAATCTTAAAAAAAGAAAAGAAAAGAATACAATGGCCCTTTTTCCTCCTCCCTCAACCTTTCTGATCCTTTTCAAGCATTTTGACACTGTTGCTTTACTGTCATTTTGGAGCCTCTTTTTCTCATACTTTTGGTTCTCTCTCTCCTACTCCCATTATTGGGCCTTCTTGCTTTTGTGGGTCCCTATTTCTACTGTTTCTTAATTGTAGATAGCCCCATAGTTCAGTGTTTCTTGGCTCTCTTTCTGTTTCTCCTACTGAAGAATTTATGCCACTCCTTAGCTTCAGATCTCCTCTGTATTAGTTGATTCCCAAATCTCTTTCCTGAGTCCTTGTCTTTCATTTCCAAGTAATCGAGTAATGTTCAGCAGAATCTAAAACTCTAACATGAGTAATAGCAGGTTAAGAACATTTATTTAAGATGTTAGCAAGGAGGAAAGACAATACAGTCTAGCTTATATTTCTGATCTGTCTTCAACTCTGGTCTGATATAACTCAAACTCTATCCAACCAGGATAACATACCTTGTGCTTTCCTCCTTCCATGGTTTTGCTCCATGTCTTTGTGCTTTTGGAAAACATTTCTGCCCTTTCCTTCTTCAAATCTTCCTATCATTCCAATCAGGAAAATGTGGAATGATGAAAATGCTGGATTAGGAGTCAGAAGACCTATTTTGGTCATTCTACTTGCTTTCTGACCTTGGAACAATTATTTGAGCTTTCTATGGCTTTCTCTCTCTCTACATATATATATATTTTTTAAAGATTTTATTTACTTATTTATTTAATTTGAGAGAGAGCACGAGCAGGGGGCAGGGGTAAAGAGAGAGGGAGAAGCAGACTCCCCGCTGAGCAGGGAGCCCGATGCGGGGCTCGATCCCAGGACCCTGGGATCATGACCTGAGCCAAAGGCAGCCGCTTAATGGACTGAGCCACCCAGCACCCCTATGACTTTCTATATTTTAAATAAAGAAATAAGAATTCTATCCCTGCCTGCCTCAGATAGCTAATATGATAAAGACCATATAAACATTGTCTGACCTGAACTCTGATAGCACTCTGTGCCTTTCATCTGGAAACTTACTATCTCTTGCATGTAAAGTAGTGACAAATTCTACAAACTTCTTAAAAAGTAGGGGACCTGAATGTAAACCTTTTTCTTCTATGCTTTCTATCATTGTTCATGTCATGTTATCAGATTCCGAGGAAAAAACCAATGGAAAAAAATAGCAATTCCACGTGCTGTTCAGTTTTTATTCTTTTTTTTTTTAAGATTTTATTTATTTATTTGACAGAGAGACACAGCAAGAGAGGGAACACAAGCAGGGGGAGTGGGAGAGGGAGAAGCTGGCCTCTTGCGGAGCAGGGAGCCCGATGTGGGGCTCGATCCCAAGACCCTGGGATCATGACCTGAGCCGAAGGCAGACACCTAAAGATTGAGCCACCCAGGCGCCCCCAGTTTGTTTTTGTTTTAAGATTTCATTTATTTATTTGACAGAGAGAGAGAGAGACAGCACGAGAGGGAACACAGGCAGGGGGAGTGGGAGAGGGAGAAGCAGCCTCCCTGCTGAGCAGGGAGTCCGATGTGGGGCCCGATGAGGGGCTCAATTCCAGGACCCTGGGATCATGACCTGAGCCGAAGGCAGACACTTAATGACTGAGCCACCCAGGCGCCCCAGGCGCCCCCAGTTTTTATTCTTGATTCACTGATCCCGAATAGTTTTTACTACAAATGTATCACTTTTCTTTTTTTTTTTTTTTTAAACCTCCAATTTAGGAGATGTCTTTCCAGTGCAAATGAATCCAATAGCTCAATCTCAGTTTATACCTTTGGCTGAAGTTCTTTGCTGTGCTGTATCTGATATGAATGCTGCCCAGATTGTGGTGACACAGGAATCACTGTTGGAGCATTTGATGAAACACTACCCAGGTAGCGTGACAAGTTTTCTCTATTAGTTCATTGCTTGCTTTCTATTTATAAATCCTCTTAAAGATGTGAATAAACTGGGTGATACCCACTTTTTTTTCTATTGTAGAAACTTGTATGAGAGCCTTGCTAGGAAAAGGCCCGCATCAACAAATTTGATAAGGGCATTTCTTTTACTTTCCAGATGAACTTTTTCAAAAACAATGCTTATGGCAATAAACAAATCACACTGTAGAAAGGAGTACAAAGCAAAAAAAGGAAAAGTTCATCTTCTCCCCTGATCCCATTCTTCCATTGCCACTTCCCAGAGGTGACAGCTTATATTGTTTATCTTTTCCTGTGTATGCTTTCATAAATTGTATTTGAGTATATGTATTTTTTTAATAACATAAATTGGATCATTCTTTACATTGTTTGCACCTTGCTTAAGTTAAAAAAATATTTTGGGGGGGTGCCTGGGTGACCTAGTTGCATAAGTGTCAAACTCTTGATTTTGTTTTTTTGTTTTGTTTTGTTTTAAGATTTTATTTATTATTTGAGAGAGAGAGAGCATGAGCTGGGGGAGAGGCAGATGGAGAGGGAGGGGCAGACTCCCCGCTGAGCAGGGAGCCTGATATGGGGCTTGATGCCAGGACCCCGGGATGACCTGAGCTGAAGGCAGATACTTAAGCGACTGAGCCACCCAGGCGTCCCCGAAATGTTAATATATTGATGTATTTTCTTCCAGTGTTATACAAACATGTTTCACAATATAAATACAATTTTGAACCCTGATATTTGGAAAAAGGAATTTCTTTTAAAATTGTTACCTTCCTACTTTGAAAAACTATCATAATATAGATATTAGGTAGTTTGCCCTCATCCTGGCACAGACTAGTTTTCATTTTTTCTTTAGATTCTTATTAAGATTTAAGCAATGAAGCTGCGATTTTCAAAAACTCCCATGTTTGCTTCCAAGAATGCTGTCTTGAAGTGAAAATTTAAATTCATGATGGGTTTGTATAACTTCCTGTGTGTGTTCGAGGGAACTCAGATTTTTTTCTCTACTTAACCATTAATTTAGCCCTATGTCTTTGTGTGGACCAAATTGTATTCCTATTATTCAATTAAACTGTGACTATTATGACTGCTTCTTTGGCATTGTAATTACATTTATTGTGTTACAGTTAGCTCTGGGCTCATCAAGCACATGTGTGGTCATTTCTGACTTCCTGATTTCACTCATCAAAATGCTTTTTTTAATTCAAAATCTATCAGTGTAATGAAATGCTTGTTTGTTTTAGGCATTGCAATTCCATCTCAAGATATTCTCTATACCACTCTGGGAACTCTGATTAAAGAAAGGAAGATTTATCACACTGGAGAGGGATACTTCATAGTCACCCCTCAGACTTACTTCATCACAAATACAACCCCTCAAGAAAATAAGAGAGACCTATCAGATGAAAGTCACCCAGTGCCAACTTGCATTAGGTATCTGGTGAGCGTAGCCAGCTGTGCGGAACTAGCCAAAGGCAATGCTGCCCCCATTTCCCATTGTCAGTCTTGCCGGTGTTCCCCTGACCTGTGCACTCAGGACATAGAGGCGACACCGGCGGCTGCAGAAATGGCTAGAGAAGGCCAGAAGGGTCTTCAGGAATCCAGATCTTTGGTACAGAATCGAGCTGTTTCAGTGTCTGAGGAGAATCACATCTGTGAAAGCGCCAAACCGTTACCAGACACAAAAGACAGAGAAAAAAGCAAGAAGTTTGGCTTCAGCCTCTTCTGGCGTAGTCTATCCAGGAAGGAGAAGTCCAGAACAGAACACAGCAGTTTCTCTGCCCAGTTCCCACCAGAAGAATGGCCTGTCCGAGATGAAGATAACTTGGACAATATTCCTCGAGACGTCGAACATGAGATTATCAGAAGAATTAATCCCATTCTGACCGTTGACAACTTAATCAAACATACAGTCTTGATGCAAAAATATGAGGAACAGAAACAATATAATAGCCAGGGCACTTCCACTGATATGCTGACGATGAGGCATAAATATCCTTCAAAAGAGGGAATGAGGAACCGCAGGGGCCGGTCTGCAAAGCCTCGAAGAAGGCGGGGCCGTTCTCAGAGGGATAGGCACAAAGCCGGGAGTCCGGGAAGCGAGCCTCAGCCGGGAAGCATTAGACTGGAGAAACATCCCAATCTCCCTGCTACACAACCCACCCCCAGAATTAAAAGCCCAAATGGAGCAGTAGTTCAGAAACCACTTGATGAGAACCTATCAGTGCTGGGGTCCCATTTGATTTACAAGAAGCGAATTAGTAATCCTTTCGCAGGTTTTTCTCCCCGAGGGATTCCAGTAACCAAAGGGCACAACATCCAGAAGACCAGTGATCTGAAACCCAGTCAGACTGGACCAAAGGGAAAGCCTTTCCCAAGGTCAAGGTCTTTGGACTCCTCAAGAATCTTTGAGAGTGAACTCAAAGAGCCACATGCTGAACAATGTAAAGATAAACCAATGGCAGAATCCATTTATATGAATAACTCTGCCGTCAAACCTGTCAGTGATGACTTCAGAGATCCCCTCTTAAATTACTCTCAGTGTGGTGTTTTGCAAAATGGCAGTAAATGTTCCTTTCAGGAAAGCATGTTGAGATATGATGTATATGGTGGAAAAAACGAGGTAATCCCTGAAGTCTTGAGGAAAAGTTATTCTCCCTTTGACACATTAGGGGAAGCCACAGAAACACGGCATGTCCTGCCGTCACAAGGTTCCTCCTCTTTAGGCCATGCCTCCTCTGCTTGTAGAATAGTTGATCAAACAATACACCAGTTCCAAAATCTTGGTCTTCTGGATTACCCAGTTAGTACGAACTATTTGAGACAACCTGAGAGACAAGATGGAGACTTAGAAGAAATACCAATGAGAAAGGCATTTGTCCCGGAAGCAGAGACTGTGGATCTAGAAAACGAGGGGCTTTCTGATGATAACCAGGCCTTGTATCAGAATGAATTGGAAGATGATGATGGTGCTTGTAGTTCATTATATCTAGACGAGGAGGACTTTTCCGAGAATGATGACTTATGTCAAATGTTGCCTGGCCGCATTCAGTATTCCTTTGCAGGGAGAAGCAAGTGGAATCATTTGGGGAAACAGAAAGTGACAGAAATATCTCTGACTGAGTACAACAACAAAATACACAGGTCTGAGCTTCAGGTGCTTGAAGGAAATGAGTGTTACAAACCCACTGGGTTTTTCATTAACCCAGGTGAAAGCCAAACACCTAATCTCTCTGCTGAAGGTGGTGGCCTCAATTCAGGGACTCAGTCCATTTGTAACTATGAAGAGGAACCCAGTGTTGCTACATGTGCACAGGCCTCAGCATCCGCGGATGGAAGTATATTTGATTACTATAGCACAAGGAAAGCCCATTCTGAGACTGAAACCCTCCAAGATTCTGTTGGTGACACAGGAAAGAAACCAGCTAGCTGGAGTCAGAGTGCTCAGAATCAGGGAATGAGAAAGCAGTTCACACAAAAGTTAGAACTTTTCAATACTTCACGTAGGCCAGTGTTGGCTCAGGATATCCAACACGAACACAGTCGTTTGGAAGGAACAGAAAATCAGAGCATGGCAGGAGATAGTGGAATAGATTCTCCACGGTAAGTGTATGTAAATGTGTTTGATTAGCCACTATTCCTCAGGAATGATTAAAATCAAGGGTATATTGAATTACCTAATGGGACACTCCTGAATAAACTTCTTATAGCCATAGAATTCTGCCAGCCTAACTGAATAAATTGTATCAAATTACAATGAAATCTCTTATATAATAGGTTCATTTTTAATGTGAACCAAAATTTACTCCACTACTACTAAATTTTGAATTATTTCTTTTTTTTAAAAGATTTTATTTATTTGACAGAGAGAGACAGCGAGAGAGGGAACACAAGCAGGGGGAGTGGGAGAGGGAGAAGCAGGCTCCCCGCTGAGCAGGGAGCCTGATGCGGGGCTCGATTCCAGGACCCTGGGATCATGACCTGAGCCGAAGGCAGATGCTTAATGACTGAGCCACCCAGGCGCCCCTAAATCTTGAATTATTTCTAAAAATAGGAAAGAGCTGCTATAAATGAAGCACTTCCTCAACTGAAGGTTGGAAGTTTTCACCTATATTTCTGGTTCTACACACATTGGGAAAGAGATACAGCTGCTTTCCACCATTGCTTTCCATGTTAATTTGTTTAAATAACATTGTTCAGATTATGAAAGTAATATGGTCATAATAGAATATTTGAAAAGTACTGAAAAAGTGTCTTAAAAGATTTATTTATTTATTTGAGAGAGAGAGAGAGTGCATGAGCAAGCACAGGGGAGGGGCAGAGGAAGAGAAATCCTCAGACTCCCCACTGAGCTTGAAGCCCAACGTGAGGCTCAATCCCAGGACCCTGAGATCATGACCTGATCCAAAATCAAGAGTCAGATGCTTAACTGACTGAGCTTACCCAAGTGCCCCAGTACTGAACACCTATAATCACCCTACCATTTATTTTATTTTTTAAAAAATATTTATTTATTTGAGAGAGACAGAGATAGTGAGAGAGAGCAGGAGTGGGAAGGAGGGGGAGAAGCAGATTCCCCGCTGAGCAGGGAGCCCAATGTGGAGCTCGATCCCAGGACCCCGGGATCATGACCTGAGCCAAAGGCAGATGCTTAACTGACTGAGCCACCCAAGCGCCTCTACCCTACCATTTAGATATATTTTAAAAATCTTTTTATATTTGGTATATTTATAACACTTCAGTCTGAATATATTGATCTATATAATTTGTCTGAATGTTTTGCCTGTACTGTAGTTCCTATTTTGTATGGTGCTTTTTTTCAACTAATAGTACATCAGGAACATTCCCCTCATATTCTTAGTTTTCAAAAAGTTCATCTTAAAATTTGGCATATATCTTTACTAGTTTTTTTTTTTAAGATTTTATTTATTTATTTGAGACAGAGAGTGAGAGAGAGCACAAGCAGGGGGAGGAGCAGAGGGAGAGGGAGAAGCGGACTCCTTACTGAGCAGCAAAGCCTGATACAGGGCTCCATCCCAGGACCCTGGGATCATGACCTGAACTGAAGGCATATGCTTAACCCACTGAGCTACCCAGGCGGCCCTACTAGTTTTTCATTATATAAAATTATTGTGTACTTTGTTTTGAAAAAGTAAAGTAATACAGAAATGTAAAAGGTAGGGGAGCCTGGGGTTAGATCATGGTCTCAGGGTCCTGGTATCAAGCCCTGTGTCAGGCTCCCTGCTGAGCGGGGAGTCTGCTTCTCCTTCTCCCTCTGCCCCTCCCCTTGCTCATGCATGCTGTCTCTCTCTCTCGCAAATAAAAAAAAAAATCTTTAAAAAAATGTAAAAGGTAAAAATGGGGGCGCCTGGGTGGCTCAGTCAGTTGAGTTTACAACTCTTTGATTTTGGCTCAGGTCATGATCTCAGGGGATCAAGCCCTGTGTCGGGCTCTACGCTCAGCGTGGAGTCTGCTGGAGATTTTTCCTCTCCCTCTGCCCCTCCCTCAGCTGGCACACTCCCATGCTCTCTCTCTCTAAAATAAATGAATTAATCTGTAAAAAATAAATAAATAAAAAGCAAAATTGGAATTCTCCATCCCCCAACCTTTGCCATTGCCTTTCTGTTGAGGTGACCTACACATTGTTTACAGTTTGGTTTGTTTGTTTTTAAATATTTTATTTATTTATTTGAGAGAGAGACTGCAAGAGAGAGAGAGAGAGAGAGCACGAGCAGGGGGAGAAGGAGAGGGAGAGGGAGAAGCAGACTCCCCACTGAACAGGGGCCCAAACGTGGGACACGATCCCAGGACCCTGGGATCATGACCTGAGCCAAAGGCAGACGTTTAACTGATGGAGCCAACTAGGCGCCCAATAGTTTGGTTTATATTCTTTCAGACTTTTTCCTGTGCACTTGTAAATATAACTATTTTTTAACAACAAATAATATGGAGCTGTGGCTTTCTTTTTTCACCTAATGTAAGTTAGGGTATCTTGCAATCAATACATATAGATGGATATAGATCCAGCTCATTCTTTTTAATGGCTGCTGAGTATTCTATTATGTGGACCCCAGTATTTACATAGTTATTGTTTTCCTTCCTTTGACATTTAAATTACCAATTTTTGCTGTAATAAATCAATCTGCAGTAGATTGTTTTTACATATAAATGTTTGCAGACACTTCTGACTATACCTTGGGCTAAATTCCTGGAGGTCTACATTTTTTTGAAAGATTCTATTTATTTATCTGTCAGACAGAGAGAGAGAGAGAGAGCACAAGCAGGGGGAGCTGCAGGCAGAGGGAGAAGCAGGCTCCCTGCTGAGCAAGGAGCCCGATGTGGACCAGATCCCAGGACCTTAGGATCATGACCTGAGCTGAAGGCAGCCGCTTAGCTGGCTGAGCCACCCAGGAGTCCCATGGAGGTCTGCAAAGAGAGAGAGAGACAGAGATAATGAGAACAGGATCAGGGAGGAGAGGGAGAAGCAGGCTCCCCGCTGAGCAGGGAAACTGATGTGGGGATCAATCCCAAGACTCCAGGATCATGACCCAAGCTGAAGGCAGATGCCTAACCACCTGAGCCACCCAGGCGCCCCAACGTCTGCATTTTTTTTTAAAGATTTTTTATTTATTTATTTGAGAGAGAGAGAACGAGAGATAGAGAGCACGAGAGGGAAGAGGGCCAGAGGGAGAAGCAGACTCCCTGCTGAGCAGGGAGCCCGATGTGGGACTCGATCCCAGGACTCCAGGATCATGACCTGAGCCGAAGGCGGTCGCTTAACCAACTGAGCCACCCAGGTGCCCTGCATTTTAAAAACATATCTTCACTTCTTTATTAAGGAACAGATCTTTCCTTGAAACAATTGTTTAATTCATATCAACTCTTTAAAGTATCAAATCAAAACATATTGTCTCCAAAGTAAACAATGGTTGTGTAAACCAACAAGCTATGGATTCCCTTTCTCTCTAGCAAAAGGAGAAATAAAAACCCAAATCAAACCCAAAGCAGATAAGTGAAATTACTCCTTGACATGCAACTGAGAATTTAAATTTGCAAAATCTCGAGAAATTCAATTTCTTAAAAATTGCTTATAATATGGTTCTCTTGAAAGACATAATCATTAAAGACATGTAGAAGAAAAGGGAGGGAAGATAGCATTTGCACATCAACTATGTGCCCTGTTATAAGAATTGGAGGGAAAGAGATGAACAAGATGCTGTTGCTACCTGTAGGAAGCTTTTATACTTTAGTTGAGTAGACCAACAAACAATAAACAAATTAAACTCAATACAAAGCAGAGGAGTGCCTGGCTGGCTCAGTCTGTAGAACACATGACTCTTGATCTCGGGGTTGTGAGTTGGACCCCCACATTGGGGGTAGAGTTTACTTTAAAAAAATGTACAGGGACGTCTGGGTGGCTGAGTAGGTTAAGCGTCTGCCTTCAGCTCAGCTTATGATTCCAGAGTGCCTGATCGAACCCCTGCATCAGGCTCCTTGCCCTGCTCCTTGCTCCTCTCTTGTGCGCAAGCTTTCTCTCTTAAATAAATAAAATCTTAAAAAAAAAAAAAGGACAAAGCAGAAACTCTTCACAACTGCCAAAGAGATGTGGAATTAAGAGTGATGAGCTGGGGGCGCCTGGGTGGCTCAGTCATTAAGCATCTGCCTTCGGCTCAGGTCATGATCCCAGGGTCCTGGGATCGAGCCCCACATCGGGCTCCTTGCTCGGCGGGAAGCCTGCTTCTCCCTCTCCCACTCTCCCTGCTTGTGTTCCTTCTCTCACTGTGTCTCTCTCTGTCAAATAAATAAATAAAATCTTAAAAAAAAAGAGTGATGAGCTGTTTGGGGGGACACTTGTTGGAGGACACATTTTTTTTAAAAGATTTTATTTATTTATTTGAGAGAGAGAGAGAACACAGAGGGAGTGGGAGAGGGAGCAGCAGACTCCCCTGCTGAGCAGGGAGCCTGATGCAGGGCTGGATCACAGGACCCTGGGATCATCACCTGATCCGAAGCAGACGCTTAACTGACTAAGCCACCCAGGCGCCCCAGGAGGACACATTTTTGAGGCATATCAATGTAATGAGCAAGTGATAGGAGACAAGGTGGGAAAAGGGGAATGTCAAAGCAAAATGCCCAGTTAGTAATGTGACTTGGCTGAAGCAAGGCAGATGTGTTAGATAAGGGACTAATCTAGCCTACAGCTCCTTGGAAAGGAACGTTGTCATTGTGAAAAATATTATGGTTGGCTTTTCTCTTTCATATGACTTCTCAAAAAAGAAACAAATTACACTTCAGTTGTATAGAAGAGGTTTTCAGGGAACATATTGATTTTTGTTTTTTTGTTTTTTTTTAAGATTATTTATTTATTTGTTTGATAGAGACACAGCAAGAGAGGAAACACAAGCAGGGGTAGGCGGAGAGGGAGAAGCAGGCTTCCCGCCGAGCAGGGAGCCCAATGCGGGGCTAGATCCCAGGACGCTGGGATCATGACCGGAGCCGAAGGCAGACGTTTTACAACTGAGCCATCCAGGCGCCCCTGTTTTTTTGTTTTAAAGTTATGTATGTATGTATGTATGTAATCTCTACACTCAACTGGGTCTTGAACTCACAACCCTGAGATCAAGAGTTGTAGGCTCTTCCAACTGAGCCAGCCAGGGGTCCTGGGAACTTGTTTCTGACTAGAATATAATTGATACTGGATCTGAGGAAAGATGTTCCGAAAATATGGACTTCTTGGAAAGCAGCTGCCAAATAATTGAGGTGCTGTTGTGAAGCCTTTAAAATGTAAGGAGAACTTTAGATTTTTAAAGGTTAACTTATATGATAAGTGTACCTTAGTGTTAGTAAATGTTATACTGCTTCGAAGTAACAAATGAAGGTATAATGCTTTGATTAGAAATCCAGGCCCTTTTGGAAGGTAATAATTCTGTTATTTTCAATATCCTAGGACACAGAGTCTGGCATCTAATAATTCAGTCATTTTGGATGGACTAAAAAGAAGACAGAATTTTCTGCAGAACTTTGAAGGCACAAAGAGTGGTCAAACACTCACATCCAATTCCTTACTACAACTAACTCCAGTCATAAATGTTTAATTCTTATTTTTCTTTTGTCAACTTTTTGGTAAAAATGTTCAGATTAATATAGACTATTTTAATCAGCTGAGTATATAAGAATTCTCTAAAGCCAAGCATAGGTGCTGTTAATCTCATTACATATTTTGTTCTAGTTTCTGGCTTTTTTCCCTTTTTGATGTTTTAAAGCTTTTTTAAAAACTTATTTTACTATGAATTTATTGGGAATATAGAGATTTTTTTGCCATTAAAAAAACAAAATCCTTGGTCCTTTTCCTATTAAATGTAATTATCTCAAATTTTCAGACATTCATTAGTTTCTCAAATACATAGGGTGCTAATTTACTATACCCAGTAGTGAATTTCTCTACCCATACTAATACTGAGTTCTTATGTTAAGGATCTCACCAGATTCAGCACAGAAATCCAGAAAATAGTGTGTTAGCGTTGTATAGATCCTTTGTTTGCAACTAAAGTCTTTTATCATTATCAGAAAATTTATATAGTTGTATTGGGTACTTTGCAACAAGAATTTTTTCTATCCAATCATTGCCACCAAGGATCTTCTCCGCACCCACCTTGAACATGAACAGATGGCCCCAAATTGTACTGACTGGAAATGTCCAAAATACCTGTGACAGCATCTGGGTCTACTGTTTTTCTGGTTCCTCTTCATATTTGAGGCACTCTCTATAGCATGGCAGTGAGAAGTGAGGATGTTCTCAGATGGTGGAGATAGAAAGGAAGTAGAATGGTTGCAGAATGGTTTGTGAGTGAAAGGAGGTTCTGAATTAAAGATTTAGAGAAGATGGAAGATGGGTGATAGTTCATTTATATTTGATCTATTTCCACTAAGACTTGGATAGCTTTGCTGGAATTTTTTCTGGCTGGCCTTTTCAGACCAAGTAGTGGAATGGTCAGTTCTCTTGGGTTTGGGAAACAGGAAGCAGTCAAGCCTGGTTTCAGCATATTGGACAGATGCTAACGCTGACTTATGGTTGAGGGGATGTTTCTCCTAAGAGGTTCCTAAGGATTGTCAAGGCCTTAGATCTCAAGCATGATTGAGTAACTGGAGAGTGCCTCTTAATTCTTACCATCTTGGTAACAGTGAAGGCAAGATGAAGCTCAGCACCGTGGAGAGCTGCCTCCAGGTGCTGGGGGAGTGCAGAGAAGGGGAGATCAAATACACTGCTGGGTTTTGCAGTGGTTGGCCCATTCACTCCTGTTGACTTTTAGTGGCTCTGAATAACCTACCATGGCATCCAAGAAGATCAGCTGTCTTCATAAGGACATTTGAAACTCTGGACAAAGTATCAAGAAGGGTAATCTGTATAGCAAAGGCTTATGGGGGAGGCACTGTTTTAGGGGGTCTTATAGCTTGGAATAATCATCAATGAATCAAAGACGATTTCAGCTCATTTAAAGAACTTTCCATTAGTCAAAACTATCCATAGATGAAATAAACACTTTTTTAAATAAAGATTTTATTTGACAGAGACACAGTGAGAGAGGGAACACAAGTGGGGGAGTGGGAGAGGGAGAAGAAGGCTTCCCTCTGAGCAGGGAGCCCGATGCAGGGCTAGATCCCAGGACCCCGGGATCATGACCTGAGCCGAAGGCAGACGCTTAACAGCTAAGCCCAGGCACCCTGAAATAGACACTTTTATAAATGAACTTCCCATTATTTAGGGCACTCAGGCAGAGGCTTGATGATCTTTTAATTGGTATGTTGCAGAGGTATTTCCAGGACTTAACAGGATAGCTGAACTAGATGATTTTAAAGATTCCTTCCCACTGTAAGGTTTTGTACTTACAGATTCAGTGAGGGTTATATGTCAAATATATCTCAAGAAAAAAAAAAGTTTAAGTGAGGATCCTGCAAAATACTAAGCTCATACAAGATTCCTGAGTTCTCTTCCAGTTCTCCATTTCTGCCCTATTCTTGTCAGTCGTTGGAAAAAGGAGCAACAACAACTCTGTCCTACCTTTGATTTTGGACCTGGACAAATTTCTTAATAGAGTGAGGAATCCAAAGTTTTTTATGGCTCTAGTCACATGTAGGGACCAATTAAATCCATCTAATTTTGCCACTAGATGCACTATAATACTCCCTAAATGTATTAAATGAAGCCTATTATGAAAGCAATAAAACTTTCCTTCTACAAAACACAACATTTGACTACAAATATTAAAGATGGGTATATGTGTTGTTTGGGATATTATTCTCTAGAATAGGTGACTTGCATTTTCTCCCCAATATTAATTTGTGTGTGATAACATTAGTTCTTGATTTCTCATCCTCACTGTGGTCTATTCTCTAAGGAGAAAACTATTTTCTTGAGGCAGCATGATGACCTGAGTTTAGGAATCAGAGAAGTTTGAATCCCAATTACAATCCTTGGGAGCTGTGTGATGGAGAAAGTTTCCAAACTTCTCTGATTCAGTTTTCTCATCTGTAAAAGGGAGATGGTAATGATAGATCTGACTTACAGAACTGTTGTAAGATCTGAGGCTAATCTAGTCAAAGTGCCCAATGCAGGAGGCACCTGATATCATTATGTGTATATTTTTATATATTTATATATTCACAAAACTTGTCTGATAGGTGAATACATGGCCTACTATACAGGTCCCGTTTTTTGCTAGGTTGTCTGGAATTCCTCCATTTAGAGATTCAGTCCTTTAGGTTAAGATTATAAGAAATTTCATCAATTCAAATCCCGATTTGCCTAGGGAGGTATTATGCCTTGGCTAACAAGTTTCTAGTTAAAATCTGATGCTATAATAGGAATCAAATATGTAACGCATAGGCTTATTTTAGACATTTCATACATTCTGAGATTATCCTCTCTCATCTGGAATCCCAGACCCCTAGGAATACTCAGAGAGTACCTGGGTTCTGCAAAGTATTTTCAGTATTTCAAACATTCTAAAGAAATTGTATATATTCCTTTGCTTAACTCCTTGCTAATTACAACATCAAGTTTCTTTGGCAGTGGTTGAAATTATACCAGCTCAGTAATACAACACCATCACAGGCTGGTGTGACATTGCTAAGCTATATTTGTATCTTATTTATAGATAAGGAGAATGATCATGAGTTTATTACTAAATGCAATTTAGCAGAGACAAAGGTCAGATCTGTGAGGAAAAAACAATGGAGAGAATAATAGTAGTGTTGAAAATTGGGGACCACTACATTTTGAGAACCCCTCCTACTGCTACCTGAGAAGGCTTTTGGGGAATAGGGAAGAAAGACTACTGCCAAAATGGAGTGGGGAAGAGAGACACTGAGAATCATGAAACAAGAAAGGGGGTATCAAAAACAAACTCAGAACTACTTTGCTGGCCTCTACAAATCCTTCTTCCTTTTGAATCCTTAGAGATATGTTCCATCTTTCCCGGTAGTAGCTTCCATTTCTTGGGTAATAGTGCCCTCTTCTGGGTAGCTGATGTGACTACTTTTCCAGCGCTTGATTCAAAACATTTACAAAGTAATTGGCTAAAGAGAGAGTAGGACTTCTCTCCAAAGGTTAAAGTTAAAAAGCTTTTTTCCAGGGGCTTTGGGCCCGCTAAGTTGGTGGAGTGTGGGACTTTTAATCTTGGGGTTGTGAGTTCAAGCCCCACTTTGGGTGGAGAGACTTAAAAATAAAATCTAAAAAAAAAAGCTTTTCCAAGTTTGAATTAGGAGCTACACATCTACATAAATATACATGTGCTAAATGTGTTCAAAGCTGTGTCTTCTCCAAGGCTTTCAAAACCTATCAAAACCTTGAGCTAAAGGTAGAAATGTAAGCTGCTCTGTATATCATCTTTGCAGTACTGTCATATCAGCTGATCCTCCCAATTTCCCTGCACTATCAGCAGGGAAGACATGTTTGTCTCCACATTACTAACAAAAAAGACCAGGTTTTAGAGTTGATTTGGCCGAGGTCATGTGGCTAACAATGGCAGAAACAGCCCTCCTGTTCCCTCCTTCACTTTCTCCTTACTTCTTATTACTCTAAACACTCATTCTATCCTCCAGTATCTTCTAAGCAATTTATAATTGCTCCTTAAACTATTTCCATGTCATAACATTTTAAAACAATAGTTTGATTCCTTTTGTCACATAAGATTGATGTGCAGATGCAAAATGATGACTTTTTAAAAAAACTTTTGCTTTTTAACTATAGAAAAATCTAGCCCTGTAGGTTTGAGAATGACCAGAGAGAGGCAAGTGTATATAGTTCCCTCTTATTTTTATATCTTGAGGTCATAGAGTTTAAGGACCCAAAGCCAAAGGCAAGAGAAATCTTCATAGAATCTTGGAACAGAGCAATAGATGAGGCACCCCAACTCTTAAATTTTAAGAGATAAATTATATCAGTGACTCTGGTAAAATATTTTGGAGAATAAAGATTCTAATAAGATTATATTTTAAATTATTTGTGCATTGAGATTCTACTACTCCTTCATGTTCTTCTCAATAGATATTATCGGATACAAATCTCTTTGAGAGTTATAGAGGGAGCAAATAGGAAAAAAAATTCTCCATTCCTTCATTACCATTCCCAAGTTTTCTAGTTGATATCTACAGAGAGCACAGAGTTACCCAAATTTGGTAGTACTCAAATTTTTTTCGGCTAAGCGACAGCTTGAAGTTACTTATGACTTGGTTTAAGACAGACAGAAGTTTGATTCAATGAGTTTGGGGCTTAGAAAGGCAGGGACTGTAGAGTGTCCTAAATCACAGTCATTCTGAAAAACACTTAATAAACTTGTTAGTGTCTTGCATGGGGAGAATTGAACAGTCTTTCCTTTCTATTTACATACCTGCTATTTGACCTCCAAATGAATGCCAATGTTTTAGAGGAGCTAAAAACTTTATTTCATCAGTATTTGATCTTCAACCACAACAAACTAACATTTGTTCCTATTATCCCAATTTTACAAGTGTGACGTTCTTTGCCACATCCACTCCTTGTTCCTATGTACAT